ATCAAATACAAATTTGTAAAGAAAGAATAAAGAATTCAGAGATTGCATAATAAACAGAAGGTTATTTGGAAGAAAATAACAGTCTTTGGAGTAACAAACCCAAATATAGTAAAGAAGATGTAATTAAAGCTCTATGGTAGCATCCCAAAGTTCTGATCATATGATATATTCATCTTGACCATCTGTCCACTTCTCCATATTTGCTTAAAAATTGGCTTTAATAGTTAGTTCTGAGTCAAAACCCCAGACTTTTGGTAATGTCAATACAATTTAATGATGAACTCTTACCATTTATTTCTTGGTTTCCTACTAGTTATCATTCATAAGCTTCCAGACATTTTTGCTGATAGGCTAGATTTGGACATTGCAATCAACCAATAAGAAATTTTACTGACTGGATGGCTCTTCTATATCATTGGTCCTTAAAAAATATACCCTTGTTTGATTCAGTCCTATTAGTTTATGGAGATTAAACAATCTTCCTTTTTTTTGTTTTATCTAATAACAGAGACAGAATGATAAGATATTGGGTGTAGTGCTCAATGTATCAGCTTTGATTTCTTCACCATTTTTGGAAAGAAGCCCTTTTGATAAAAGGCAATAAAAAAGACATTTGATATATCCTGGTCAGTATATATGCTTCACAAATGTACCCACAAAAAATAATTTTTTTTTTTTTTTAAAATGATACAAGGCCCAAGAGCCATCCTAATTAGAGGGTTACAGAATAATAGACAGTTTATGAGGATATGTGGGGAAGATAATGATTGACTCCAGACTTGAACAGGTTGATTGTAGTGATTAGGGAAGTATCCTCTTGGGAGTCAGTTCCACAAAGCAGCAGTTCATAGCAAGATGTTGCAATGGAACTTACATCTTACCAATGAAATAAAAAGGGAATGAGGGTAGTTTGCTACAATGTGTGTGGCATAGTGGGCCTAAGCCATGAAACTTAGGACTGCTGGAACTAAAGAATGTAGTTCATCTGAACATTTTCCATGAAAATAGTGATAGAGCAGCAAGAGGCTTGTGACATTTCATCTGTGAAAAAGGGATTGTAGAGTGGAAAATAATTTGTCACCCATGTGGAGGCAGACACACTTTTGGACAGGAGAATGTAGATGGCAACTTTTGCCCATAGATAGCAGTAGTACTCCATTTTAGGCCTGATCTGGCTCATGTAAAAGGAGAAGACAGCGGGAGGTGTCAGGTACTTATTGAAGTGGTACTGGGAATTGATTATTTTTCCAGCATCTTTAGTGATGGATTACATGTATGAGTTTCACTTTAGGTCTGGGTTGGGTTTATGTCCCAATAGGTGTTTAAGGCATAGGGCCTCCCTGAAAGAGTGCCCATTCATCACAATAGGTTAAAATTCAAGGTCCATTTGGTGATAAGAAATAACATCAGATTTTACAAGGTCTACTAATTCCTCAGATTATTTTATTTACATTTCAGATAAATGAAAATATAAGCTAGCATATATATATATATATATATATATATATATATATATATATATATATATTATGGCTTAAAAATTGGCAGCTTAAAAGTATATATGAATATATAAAGAATATATAAAATGAAGGAGTAGAAGAGAACTCTTAAGAAAAAATATGTATTGTAATGTGGTGGATTGAATAAAGATATAACAACAAAATGAAATAACAAAAAATAACTTACTGCTTATCACTTTTCAGAGCCAACTGAAAATAAAATAATTAAATATATGCAGAACAGCTAAAAAAAATTGAGAAAAAATACTACCAGAGAATCAGCAGTATAAATCACAGACAGATTACATTTAGACTCTGCAGCTATGCCTCCTTGCAAAGGGATGGCTGCCTAGACTTACTATAAATGGTTAAAAAAATCTCACAATGTAATTTGAATATGCCCTGCTGATTATGGTGAACAAATCCCTGTTAAAAGATGAGGCACAAAATAAGGGTAATAGGTCCTTGCCTTGGTGTAAGGATCTCTGTGGCTGAAGCAAGCCTGGATAAAATAATTCCTGATGATAGGTATCTTCCTTCTTTAGTTGTTATGTGTGATGTGTGTATGGGAGATCATTTCTCTATTTTTGATTTATGATTGACCTGACAGAAGTTTTCTTGCAGTGGGCTGCTCATTACATTTTGCAATAGACTGGTAGCCAGCCAAGGCTATAAGACTCAGTTTTCCCTGCTATTTAACTCATAGCTGGGAGTGGAGAGTAGAGATAGATTCATATCTTTCACAAAGGTAATTTCATTTAACTGAATGTAACAAACTGAACTGGACTTCAAACCTGGCACTCCAATTTAGTCATCAAGGTCCTGACTAGGCTCAATGTTGCTTAAATTTGGTGATCAATGATCAGAACCAGGAGATGTTTATTTCACCATTAAAAAAAAGAAATGTGATGTCTACTCACACATGAGAAATAATCAGGGATATATGAGTTCAGTCCAGAAATAATTTAACCATTTAATATTAATTATGAAAATAGCCTACCTAGGGCAATAGCACATTTGTTCCTGTCCCCCCCAAATCTGTAAAGTTCTCATTTGAAATCAAATTTATTCTGTATAATCTTGTCCATGTTCCAAAATTTCCTACCTTAAAATGGTGAGTTTAGTTTTGGAAGAAGTCAGAAACTAAAAGGAAACAAGTCTGTGGCTTTGACATTAGTGATGTAAAGTTTTGCTAAAAATCTTGCAGAAGAAGCAAAGAATGTGGACTTATTAATAACCAACAACAAATAAAATATCTTTTGCCATGAGAGAGGGTATCTTAAAATGTGTATAAAATGTCTAATGCATTCATTTCCCAGTACTGTGAAGCTGGTGAACCACTTGTACATGTGATATTATTTATAAAATACAGATATACATATATTTAAATTCAAAATGTCGCATTCCCAAAAATGTCAGCATAGGACTAACAAAACTTTTGACTATAATAAAAACAATTCTTCACACTCACTAATTACAGAAAAGGTCAATAGCACTTGAACAAAAACAGGAGAAAACATGAATTTTATCCATAAAATTCAAAGTTTTTTACTGAAATTATTCTAAAAATACAATGAAATTTAACCAGGCAGAACTTGTCAGTTGGATTGAATAAAACATATTTAAACGAATTTTTGCCATTTAAATATACATATATATATATATATATATATATATATATATATATATATATATATATATATATATATATATATGAGGTCTGATCAAAAGTATTCAAACTATTGCTATGGTAATGTAGCTAATGTATACAGAATGAAGCTGCTGGTCAGTACCTAAGGCACTTAGGTACTGACCAGGCTCCATGTTGCTTAACTTCAGGGATCGGACAAGAACTGGTGTTTCAACATGGTATCTAAATCAAACTCGGACAAATTTCTGTACGTCCTATATAAAATTGATTGACTGATTTATTACTGAATCCGAACATGCATTGGATTAGCAAAAGATGCATTCAAAAGCTAAACAGAGTATTCAGAAACAGAAAAAAATCATTAGAAACAAAAAGTCAGTACTGAACCACTAACAAGTTAAGGTATCAATCCTCTTGTATGGCAATGAATATTGTTCAATCTCTTCACAAATGAAGAAGAGACTTGAAGCAACAGAAATATGGTTCTATAGAAAGATGCAGAGAATAACTAAGTTATAGCATTGTCACTCACTTCCATTGTTTATTGCAGTGCTTGGAAGGAAAGTCTGTAGTGTGTGGTCATCTCATCTAACCACAGAGAATCCATCAGTGAACATGGCTTGTGAAGCAGTTTTGGGTCAAGGACAACATTACCCAGGCCTGACAACCACCATATTCTGCCAGATCTTGCCCTTTCAACTTTTTCCTCTTCAAAAAGCAAATCCCACTTGAAAGGAGGAAGATTTCAAGAGATTGAGGAAATTCAAAAGAATGCAACAAAGCAGTTGCTAACTATCACCACAAATGCTTCCAAGAATGGAAACAATGCTGGATAAAGTGTGTGACCTCAGAAGGGGACTACTTCAAAGGAGATTAAATGCTGAATTGATATGTATTGTAGTTTTTTTTATAGTACCAGTCCTGATAATTTTTGATTAGACCTCGTATATATGCAAAAAAATAGCATGACAACATGAACTGATATATGATATGGTATATGAGGTTTAAAAAACAGTGTGCTGCCTGTTTTTTAAACTCTCATATATTTTTTGATAGCACAATATTTGAATAACGATGAAACTGACATGGCACAAAAAGCAAAAAAACCTATTTGATGAAAGTATTCAGAGATTGGAATATTCATATTTAATAAATATGTACCAGAACCCAAGAAAATGATCTTAAATATGGAAAAAATAGATAAAAAATCTTTAGCAAAGGACTTTTATTGGTTTTTAACCAAACTTGTATAAATGAACAATTACTGTCTAAATACACCGTATGTGGATGGATTCTCTTGCCAAGAATGATGGATAAGTGTTTAGTAAAATCTAAGTTTTTTTACTGAACAATAGCAGAAGTGAATTGTTTAAAGTGGTCAATTGCCTGTCCGCCCTGCAATTCACACTCACTCCATCATAGCACCATATCCTGTACTTGTGCACTGTGTATGCCACATGTCAGATGGGGCTACAATCACAAACTTTTTTTTTCTTTTTATTCTTTTTTTGTTTCTGAATAGGAGTTTTCCATCTAGCTTCTATTGGCGCCAAAAAGAAACTCATCCACCCTTTTCCATCCCTCTCCAGACTGGTTTGATTTGAAAAGAAAAAAAAAAAACCTTTAAATGCAATGCTGTCTGTTCCTGTTCTTTTATTGTTCACTCTCCTTAATAATGTTTGTTGGTTGTTGTCCTGCTATTTATCCATAGGTTGGGAGGTGGGAGAAAAGATATCCTTAGTTAGAATATTTGCATGTAAGCAAATGGAATAAACTTGACTGGAATTTAAACTTGGCTCTCCAGTTTCTCAATCCAAGCTGTTATCTATTACAGCACCTGCACATCCAAGCTTACAGCACCTGGTATTCCCAAGTGGTCACTCACTTAGGTACTGACCAGGCTCCATGTTGCTTAACTTCAGGGATCGGACAAGAACTGGTGTTTCAACATGGTATCTAAATCAAACTCGGACAAATTTCTGTACTTCCTATATAAAATTGATTGACTGATTTATTTGTTATTATACTTTATCAACACTTTATAGGTAATTTAACTGTTACAATTCTGCAGACATACATGTCTGCTGGTGATATTCTTTCTCAATATTCTCCAGGCGAACATGTTCACTGAGTGACAGTGCTTTGTTTCAAAAGGAAAGTACGTTTCTAAAATTAACCTATTACTACAGAAATTAAATGATTAAGCTTGTGATGTGAACTGGGAATGCCCGGATGTCAGCCATTTTAATAAAGTGTTTTAAAAACATTCATTTTTGTGATCACAATGGCACCTCTGGCATGAGGTATGGATCTGGTATGTTGGTAGAGGAACTTTGTATGGACAGTGAGAACGATGTAGAAGAATTTATCAGATTTACCCATGCAGATATTGACGTGTGTGATATTGAGACTGAAAGTGATTCCGACCAAGAAGGAGGAATTTTTGAATCATCAGAAGAATACAATCATATGTGGCTACTAGAGTTTTCCTAAAACAAAATTACATGACACAGCAAAACCCAAATCACAAATCATGAAAAATCTTGGAAAAACATTTTCTTTGAAGATTTAAAAGGATTTTTGGCCTTGTTTTTGTTGATAGGTTTTATAGAGTGACTTTCATATACATCTTACTGGACAACAGACCCCTTTTTATATATGCAAGGCTTTCACAATGTGATGAATAGGAATTGTTTTTTATCAATTCTGTCGTATTTTCATCCTCTTGATAATTCAATGGCAGTACTTAGAGATGACCCCCCGATATAAAAAAGACTTCAAAATAAAACAATTTATTAAAACTATTCTCCTTTCATGCAAATACCCAGAAAATTTTATAACAATATCTCTAAAACCCTAGAAGTTGCAGTGCTAGTAATATACCCACCATTCAAAAACTTACCACACCCAAAATTAATGTGGACCCAGAGGATACAACTCTGAAAGTTAGTGTGGGATTGTAAAGGTTAAAGCTGGAACATATTTTGGATTGCAATAATAATTATGCAAGAAAACACATCTACTATTTAACACATAACTGGGAGGGGTGTCGGATTCATACATTTGTTTTAGTCTTTCATTCCTAACTACAATCCATTACACCACTCAAGGATCCATTGCTATATGGGAAGTGCTTTAGCAGCCAAAGGAAAATGTAACACAGAAAACCAAAGGCACATTGGAATACTGAATGATGTCTTCCAAAAGTTAAACAAAGTATTAAGAAATAGAAAAGTATACTGAACTGCTATGTAATACCCATCCTCTGAAATGGACAATTTCCTCATTGGTGAAGTGCAGACTTGAGGCAACAGAGATGTTCTTCTATAGAAGGATGCTGAGAATCCCATCTACAATGCAAAATGGTAACAAAGCAGATACTTAGTATCAGAAAGAGTTGAAAATTTTTGGGACACATAATGAAGAAGAAGGGCTTGGAGAATTGGACACTCAAAGGACATATTGAAAGCAAAAAGGACAAAGGAAAACAATAAGTAACTTAAGTGTAAATAGGTAGCAGAACAGAAAGTAAGGTGGGTAGTAAGAGGACAAACATTAATTAGAGCTACAAAAATAGGAAATCATGGAGAGTCATGATTGCCATGTCTTGAAGGAACATGGTACATAAAAAAAGAAGAATATGTGTATATTCACATTTATTTGAGATTTATTTTTGATAGCTGTAACTTTCAAATCATCACTTGACAAGATGAACAGCAATACAACAGCAGAACCAGATAGGATAGTAATAGAAATGTTCATGGCCTTCGACAATTTTGGCATCAACAAGATCACGGAACTAATAAAATGAAATATAGACATTGGTAACATACCAAATGACCTCAGTAGATCCCTCTTTGTCATATTACCTAAAAAAAAAAAAAAAACAGGTGCAAATAAGTGTACAGTCTATTGGACAATTAGTTTAATGAGCCACCTAACCAAACTAATGATCCAAATCCTGATGAATTAGACCAGAAATAGGACAAAAACAGTGTGTCTTTGTCAAGGACACTGGCACAAGAAATGCAATATTTATGCTCAGAATAATATTGGAGAGGGCAATACAAATGTAGAAGGATGTGCACTTAGGTTTTATAGATTATGCAAATGCATTTGACAAGGATCTACTTTTAGGAAAACTAGATCTACTTGGGAAGGATGTCAGAATAATCCAGAATTTATACTTGAAGCAAACTGACTGTATATGGGAAAAAATGAATTGAGCAGCAATGCAAAAATAGGAAGGGACATAAGACAAGGACGTGTCATTGCTCTAGATTTCATTCAACCTCTGCAGTGAGGCCATCCTAGGAGTGTTGCAGACTCTAACTTAGAAAGAAAACTAGAGGACCTTCTAAACAAGGTAGTAAAAAAAAGTGAGAAAAAAAGGATTAGCCATCAACTGTAAGAAGACAGAAAGTATGGTCACCAGAAAAACAAAAATCCAAAGATGTGAACTATGAATTGGAGATGTCAAACATCAAACAAGTACTGAAGTTTAAATATCTGTGAAGTGTTTCAACAGAGGATGGAAAATGTAACAATGGAATCCGAACATGCATTGGATTAGCAAAAGATGCATTCAAAAGCTAAACAGAGTACTAAGAAACAGAAAAAAATCATTAGAAACAAAAAGTCAGTACTGAGCCACTAACAAGGTAAGGTATCAATCCTCTTGTATGGCAATGAATATTGTTCAATCTCTTCACAAATGAAGAAGAGACTTGAAGCAACAGAAATATGGTTCTATAGAAAGATGCAGAGAATATCAAGGACTGAACTTGTATGGTAATAAATACTGGAAATCTCTTCACAGATGAAGAAAAAACTGGAGGTAGCAGAAATATGGTTCTACATGGATGGAGTGAGTAAGCCAAAAGGAAGTCTTAAAGAAAATTTTATCAAAAAGAACACTTAGAATTAGAATCAGAAAGAGGCTGCTGAGATACCTTAGAAACATAATGAGGAAAGGGGCTTGAAGAATTTGATACTCACTAGGCATATTGAGGGCAAGAGAGATAGGTGAAATTAGTGAACCACCTACCTGACAAGCTTGTGTGAATGAATAGTGGAACAGGAGGTTTGGTGAAGGCAGAAAGGCTGCTAAAGGACCACAAGAGACAGGAAGCTGTGGAGAGCCATGATCGCGCACGTTCTGAAGAGATATGTTACACAGAAGAAAAAAATTAAGAAATCTGGTAGATATTCTCTACTTGAAATTAATTTAAACTTAAATCCCATAAAGAATTGTTTTTCTCTTTTGCTGACATTTTTATGTTTGTCATTCTTGAACCAGTTTTAAGTAAAATCTGCACATTATCAAAGACAGATATGTTTTGTATTTCTAAATCTCTTACAAGGACACTACTTTACAGAGAGAGAGAGAGAGAGAGAGAGAGAGAGACTACTCCATTTGTGTGTTTTCAAGGCTAAAACCATTAAAAGATATATGAACAGTGTATTTCTTGTATGAGGGTGTATTATTTTTCTTTGTTTCTGGTCAAATGAGCACAGCACAATCTCAATTATTGAACATTCTTTGACCAAGAAGAGTTGATGCGTGTCTAGAAAATGTGTACATTCTCTCTTGAAATAAAAAAATGGAGGGAAGAAATGAAAAGAAAATATCTTTAAAAAAAACAAAGAAATGTCTGAAATACTTCATGTGACAGGAATCATGCAATAGAAACAGAGAAAAATGTAATATTTGAATGGAATATAAAGTGTTGGGAAAAACCTGAAAGAAAAAATATCAGATGTTTGGTTGAGATCTGTTTCAAAACGGGTATATACATTCAAACACATGAATGACTGAACGTGAGGGACCCCTACTTTCAACCTTGTGCCACACCTAAGCTAAGTTATAACTGAGTAATGAGGATCAAACTCACTACTCAATTGTAATTGATCAATGGTGGTTTTCGATACCTGCTTCATAATTTTGACCTTGTGCCACATCTAAGTTATGATAAGAAAATCCTTTAGGGCTCTTCAACATGGTGTAATGGTTGGCAAGTTTGTCTCACTAGATCAGTTAATACTGAATAATGAGTTTGATCCACTCTAGGTATCACATACTTTCGGCCTTGTGTCACATCTAAGATATGCTTAGAAAATCTCAGTGAATGAATTAAAATTTTACAATGAAAAATTCAGAATTGAACTAAGAGCTATTTGTCAGGCTATGAACTATGATCCACTTTTTAGGTATAGTTTCTTCATTTTTGTTACAATGAGCACTCAAAATATGTTTTTTCTGGCTTATAGAAAAGCAGTAATGCATATTATTAGCTAACAGTAATTTAAAACACTTTTCTTTCTTTCTGATGAAAAATAATGAAAGAAAAGAGTTTCAGATTCTTCTTCTATATACCATGTCCCTTTAAGACATTAGTGATCATGGCCCTCCACTAATTCCTGTCATTTGTAACTCTTAATAAATTTTGTCTTTTTGTTATCTCTCCTAATCTTTGTTCTATCATCCATTTTCCCCCACTCTAACTTGCTTTCAATCTGACCTGTGTGTATCAAAATTTCCAAGCTGTCTTTCCTTATTATATGCCCTAGAAATTTCAACTATCTCTGTTGTTAAGTATAAGTATCTTTTTGTTTCCATTTCCTCTAAAACTTTGTTGTTACTTACATGTTCAGTCTATAATATTCTCAGCATCCTTCTGTAGGACAAAATTTCTGCTGCTTCAAGTCTTTTCTTCATCTGTGAGGAGACTGCCCAGTATTCATTGCCATATAGGAGGACTGATATTAACTAACAGTTCAGTACTCTTTTCTTTGTTTCTAATTAAGTTTCTTTGTTTCTAAGTACTTTGCTTAGCTTTTGAAGGGCATCTTTTGCTATCACAATGCACCTTAAGATTTGTCAATTCTCTTATATGGCAGTGAATATTGGACTGATGAAGAGAAATGCAGTGCTACTGGAGGATGCTGAATATGT